TGCCGCTAGGGTTTCTGGCAAGAGGCATACGCCAGCCACGCTTTGCGTCTGGTCAAACTTTTTTTAAAAAAATAAACTGACCTTGACCTATTTAATCGCGTTTCTTCTGGCTTGTCGCCCCAATTCTTACGACCGAATTCCCCCAAGGCTCAGAAACCGCTCCAGAGTCTCTTTAGTCGATTCTTCTCCAGGACTCCATCGCCAGCAAAAATTTGGTTATCTTAGGCGCAATTGCAGCGCAAGTTGGTCACAGCACTCCTCCTTTTTAGCATAGTCAATTCTTACTTTTTTTAGTTGATTTATTTTTATTATGTTTTTTAATTTGGGGGGGTAGGAACCGTCATTTTTACAAACGGAGCATCGTAGGTACCCCAAACGAACTGGTGTAAGCAAATAACACCAGTAGCACTGGTGTCATTTTAGACTCACCGTATATATATGTGTGTGTGTGTATTATATATATATATATATATTATATATATATATATATATATATATATATATATATATATATATATATATCGGTAAGTCTAAAATGACACCACTGCTACTGGTGTCATTTGCTTACACCAGCTCGTTTGGGGTACCTGCGGTGCTCCGTTTGTAAAAACGACGGTTCCTACCCCCCCTAAACCCCCCACCCTAGCCCCCCCTCCCTACCCTGGCAGTACACTGGCAGTGTACTGCCAGGGTAGGGAGGGGGGCGGAAGGGGGGGCTGGGGTGGGGGGGTTTAGAGGGAGGGTTAGGGGGTAGGAACCGTCGTTTTTACAAATGGAGCACCGTAGGTACCCCAAACGAACTGGTGTGTGTGTATATATATATCATAGTTGTGAATGGCGAGTGGCGGGCGAGAGGTTCTTTTTTATGGCGAGAAGCGTGGCAAGCGGCGGGCGGTCAAATGGCGAACATTATATAAATAAATAAATAAATATATATATATATATATATATATATATATTGTTTAAGTCTAAACTTTTAGTCTTAACTTTGTATCAAACATAATTATCTAAGTAAAACATGAGTTATTGGTAAAAGTTAAAACAAAAAAAACAATAAGAAAAGTAGAAAACAAAAAAAAAGTCTGAGTGTGACCTGCGAAGTGGACTTTACTTGTGCCGGCTCTGGGTCTGCAAAGATGTGCGCTGTTCGGACTTGTGAGAGAGAGGAGGGGCTACGCCGGCTCAAGAGAACTTGAGGAGGGCAGGAGGCTGCGTCGGCTGGGGAGTAATTCGATCGACGGCAAGAGGGCGGAGGCAGAGGCGAGGCAGTTGAATCGATGAAGTGTTTCAATCGAGATATAGGTCAGCACGTTTTAAAAAAAGGTCAAGGTTTTTAATTAAAAAACCCTTGACCTGCGTGTGGCGTAGATGGCGAACGCCTTTCGACTCAGAGTCTGGCGTCCATGGCGACTGCCATTGGCGAGAATGGCATAAAACGCCTCGCCAGGTCTGAAGATGGCGTCACATGGTCGCCACACAGCCATAGGCGCCTTAGGCGAGAATGGCGAGCGCCATTCACAACTATGATATATATATATATATATATATATATATATATATATATATATATATATATATATATATATATATATATATATATATATATATATATATATATATATATATATATGTTCGCCATTTGACCGCCCGCCCCTCGCCATTCGCCATTAACAACTATGGTACTCAGTCAAACCGGGAAGAAAATTTATGGATGGAGGGAGTAATATATAATCAGTTCCAATATACTCCGTAATAAATAATATAGGCACAATAATATTGATGTGGAAGCTAAATCGGTAAAAACCACGAGCCTTTTTTTGGAGGTATCTTGCCAAGGGATGTGTATTTTGTACATATTGGGGGTGTACATGTATAAAATAGGCTTGGCATTTCATCAACCATTGCTGGAGCTTGAAGTGATATTAAGGAGATGGAGGTTGGTAATTGTGGAGAGAGTGTGTATGATATGTATGCATGTTGGTGGAGGCTCTCCTTATTAAGTATTCTAGCCCCCCTTCTATAGATAAACAAGAAACCTTAAGGTTAGGGTTTATTGATGTGTTTTGCTCCAGGGACCTGCTTCTTAAACCAGTCCCCAATATTATTGGGCCTAGGGAAAATTATTCCATCAGGTAAAAATGTAAAATGGTGGTTCAAACTAGTAACATTACCTTTCGCATGCAACAGGCTCCAGATTTTGATTGTCAAGAAGTGTCTCTTGAGCTTCATCATGATGGAATTTTAGGCAGATTTTGTGTTTATGTATGATACCCTTCTTTCTTACAAAATCTGACCAACAAATAGGCACTATGATTGACATATTTGGAAAATGTTGTTCTTGTTGACAGGAAAGCCTTATGATGTTTACTGTAGAAAAGCACAGGATCCAGAGCTAACAGTATTTTCATCATCATCATCTTCTTCTTCAGACGCTAACATTGGTGCGTGTTTATTTTGTTCTTTCATGTATCATGCATTCTTGTAGTCTGTTTTTTAAAGGCATAACGCGTATATGATTATGCTTGCATGCGTAATGCTTTAATAGGTAATAAGTTCTAAAGTTAGGCCTGTTCAGTCTGCCAGCAAGATTTGCAGTTGGAATTTCAGAAACGTAGCTACCAGCTCCAAATTGGACATGTTGGCATTTACTGTAGCAGTTCCCTACATATTTTGCATTTGCTCCAAAAGTATCCCCATTTTTTATTATAATATACCCTCCTCTTCATAAACAAATTCTCTATTTTTACATATTTCGCATTTGCATTTGCCCTTATCACTAATTTTAAATCACAACATCAACCCTTCAAATAAACACTCAACTCAACACCTGAAATTCTCAACACCTGTCCTAACAGCAAAAACTACAAAAAGCTCAAACGAATGGATCCCTAGTAGTTATACATTTACTTGTGTCACAGTTGCATCTTTATACTTTTACTGAAAATGTCAAGGGCATGTTTGGATGCATTTTTAAAATGGCTATAAACAGTTGTGAATGTGCTGTGTTTTATCTGTAAGTTCATCAAATGATTAAAGTGTTGTGTTTTTATCCAATGAAACACTCTGGGTTTTAATAAAACAATACATATTAGCCTGTTCACTTTTCAGTAGCCCGAGCATGTTTGAATGAGAGCAAATACATTCATTTCCATACAGTCCCTTGTGCACTAGCTCTGACTGAATCAAAAAAATGTTCCGAGTACATGTTTAGTATGCCATGCTCTTAACTTTGTGTGGGGTATGTGTGTTTGGCAGTTGGGACCTTTTCGCGCCATGTTTCCTTCATACACTATCCAGAGCCAAGTGAATATGAGAAAGCCAACCAAATTAGGTTGAAGGAGTTCTCACAGAGATCTTCAACCTACTCAACAACAAAGACAGGTTCAACTTTCCATCATTCGAGTGCTACTAAAAGTAGTAGGCAAAGAACTTCACTATCCCCAAGTATCTTCACCGCATCCCCTGCTCCCAGTAGTCGACACAAAAAGTCCTCTCCAAAGGAAAGAAGTGGCGGTGAGAGTGCGAAGAACAAGACTGTGGGCCCGTCTTTGCTGCTCCCGGAGGATTCTGGAAGAGCCACTAGCACAGTAACCTCTTCTGGGTCAGCAGGCCAACTTTCTCAGGAAAGGACATCCAAGAAGCCTATGAAGAGTTGAGGCTTCAAACTGTAATGGCATTTATATCTTTTTTTCCCCTCTTTGATTGAGGAATTTTGAGGGGGTTTCAAGAATTGTCATTCTGATGGATTGATTATATAATGTACGGATCAAAAGCAACTAATTCAAAGAGCACGAACTCAATGAGGAGCCATCATCTTATCCAAAATTTTCTAATCCATTCTCAAATTTGTTTCACTAAATTTCTAATTCATTTTTCTTTTTTCTTTTTCGTGCAGCTATGGTTGCTACTCTTTTGATCGTATATATAGTTCATTTCTTATTTTCGATTGTTTAAAATTAGTTCAATTTTTATAGGGTAGAGTACTTACAGTCTTTATATTTTTTGAAAGTGTTTCCCAAGTCTTTGAATTATTTTAAGTGCTTATTAGATCCCTATATATTTTAGAAAATGCTCCATAGTCCCCTAAATTATTTTTAGTTCCTACCAAGTTCTTATACTCCCTCCGTCCTAAAATTAATTTCTCAGTTTGACTTTTGGAGTCAAACTTTTTAAACTTTGACCGTATATTACGGAAAATATATATTGAATTTTCATATAAATTTATTATCAATAGATTCATTTTGAAACATAGTTCTGAAATATGTTATTTTTGTAATATATATTCATATAAAAATGGAGATATTAATGGTCAAAGTGTCGCATTGGAGACCGTGAAAAGTTAAATGAGAATTTAATTTTAGGATGGAGGGAGTACTTTCTAACTAGTGCGTTAGTAGTCCCTTCAGTAGCATTTTTCATATCAAGTGTTCAAAAATTTATAATATAATGTCAATTCAAGGACCTGTGATATACTTTCAAAAAAATATAAAGACCTCGTAAGCACTTAAAATAATTCTAGAATTTAGGAAACACTTTTGAAAATATATAAGGACTTTGTAAACACTTTACCCTTTTTTCTATTCTTCACGGATCTTTGTATTAGCCTTTTTTATTTATTTCCATAGATCTCAATATCTTTTTTAACATTTGAAATACCATTACTATCTTCACTCTATTTATTACACTTACTTTATTTAATATACTCCATCCATTTTCAATAAGAGTTTTTTTGATAAACTATTAACTTGTTTAACTCTTAAGGAACAGAGGGAGTATACAAAATAAGAAAAGAATGATGAATTATGTAAAACATTTTACTAATATAATATGAAATTATGAACATTGTTAACATAAATGATATATTCATTTGATGGACTTTTTTGACATTTTAACTCATTTTTCGAAGATAATTTATCTTAGTAGTTGGTACACAACTTTAAACAAAGAGTACAAATGTTAGAAGTATATTCAAATTCAATGTACAAATCAGACAAATGGATAAATAAACAGAGAATGTATTGGTAATGATAAACATAAACAAGATAAACTCAATAAGCATTGCATCATTTGCATGCAACACCCTCGTTTCAGAACACATGTTTAGAAACCATAAAAGTAAGTGATTATTATAAATAAACATTACAATATTTAAATAAAACACTCAACCAATGTAAGAATTCATACCGGTTTTACAGCCAGCAAAAATGAAAACACCTACGAATTCACCCGGGATTGGCATCATCTTCATCCCAACAAGTTAGCTCCTATAGCGTGCAATACTATAAGGAATGGCTTTTACACTGCCAATTCTTCTTGTCTAAGTATATATGGAGCGGGCAGAATTGCCTTAGCCTTGGAAAAAGCATCTGTACCACCAGCGATCGCCATCTCAGCAGCAGGAGAATCCAAAACATAGTCGGGTATGGTCACCAGGGTCTCCTCAAGAATGGATTTTACCGTCTACACAGTTTGTCACCATTTTTTAACAACAGTTAGGTGCCAAAAGCCGAGAGAAAAACAAACTAGAACAAAATTTAAAGATTCTACAACTTGTTTGGCTTAATAAGAGAGGGAAGGAAGAAAGATGGAGGTGGGTGGTTACAGGAAATATTTTTTTAAAAGTTGGCATTTGAATCTAATAAGGAATGGATTAGCCAAAAAATGAGGGCATTTGACATACGTAGTAAAAAATTTAAATAATACTGCAATAATCATTATTTGAGTGTGCTTGTGATTTTTTAATTAAAGGAAAAATAATGGCTCCAAATGATTGCTTAATTAAAGAGAAGACCACTAATGGGAGAGAAGGAAAGGTGGAATAGATACCGTGCAGTGCTGAAAAGCAGCATCGATTTTGCGCTTCCAGATAGCATTTCTAGGCTCCGAATGGAACAGACCAAGCACAGGCTGCAGTGTACCCCAATGAACGAAGTTATCACCAAAAAGTGAATATGGAAGACAGGTCATAAACCTCCCATTGTGACAAGCAAGCATATTTATGAACAGAATGAGAAGAAAATACATAGGAATAAAAATAATTTATATTCTGTAACAATTTAACAAGCATATTTGCAATCACTGCATACAAACAACAACAACCCAGTTAAATCCCACACGAGTAGGGTCTGGGGAGGGTGTGTGTACGCAGACCTTACCCCTACTCGAAAGTAGAGAGGCTGTTTCCAAAGAGACCCCCGGCTCAACGTCGAAAGTTGCATTGCTTGACTAACTGCTACTTCATTAATTAAAGAAACGCAGACAGTTTAGAGATCCATTTTGATTTATTCCATCACACCCCAAAGCCAAAAAATGGTGAAATTTTGGCTCCATCGGAGATGATGGAAATTTTGCAATCACTGCATAAAAACATAATAATAAACCGACCAAAAAGAGAATCTCACAAGTCACAACTTTGTACCTTGATGACTTCCCTGACATTTGGTCCCTGTCCATATATCTTCAGTATTGAATCTCCATAAACCTGATACTTCTCCAGAACCTAAGCAGAGAAAGACAGATTAAGGTGCTGACTGAAAAATTGTCTATAAGATACACCGTTTAGAAGCAACCGTGTTTGGAACCACGAAATGTTCAGGAAAAGCTTCACAGAATATATAAGATCATATTTAGAAAAGAACCTGTCGCCTGGTCAGATCACTACGTGGTGCACCATACACTGCACTATCAACATTTCCTAAAATCTGCCATGGACTGTCAGAAGGAATAAAAATAAGTGATTTTTTATGAACAATGTCCTTCTCCGGTTTAACGAATTATGTGAACCGGTCGTGTTTTAAGTTAAGAGTATTGGAAATTAAACAGATGGCCTCGGGAAAGTGTTCACAAAATATTATTATAGGAGTACTAAAATAGCAATATAAAACTGTCAATTCTTTATTATATGGAAGAGTGATACGATTTTAAAACAGCTGAAGAAAAATCATGAAATTCTATTGTAAGAAACAATATTTGCTTTTGTAATTCAATGCGCACATATCCGGTCCAAAGAATTACTGATAGAACATACTTGTTATATACTCCACGCCCTACCATCACCCCATGAGCACCTTCCCTCCGAGCAGCATTTACCTGTAAATAAACTTTCATTACTACATAGAGAAACATTTTTTTAAAGATTAAATATTCCTTTTTTTTTGAACCATTGAGAGAAGTGTTTGCACATCTGGGGTTAAGCATAACATGAATCAGCAAAATCCTATGGTTTAAGATACCCCAAATGGTGCTGATTAAAACCATAGCAAAACCATAAAGGGGTTGTCTTTAGTGGTGAAGGGAAAAGATATAGCTTGGGGGGGGGGGGGGGGGGANACCCTATTCATATACCAGGCTTGCTTTCTCCAAATGTCTGAAACAATAATGCTATTTTAACCAACCTAATTAGCAGTGGTAAGTTAGGAAGAACAATGAAGGCCCATATATCATTTAAAAAATCATATGTTATTCATAAAATACATGTGTAATATTGAAAATGGAATAGTCTCATCACTACACAAGTCAAACACCCACCTCAAAACAAAAATAAAACAACAGAAATGAAGAAAAAGAGACCCATTAACTTTAAATACCATACCTCATTAATGGTATTTATTCCTCCATTTATTGTAAACTGTAGGTCAGGAAAATCACGTAACAGGGCATAAAAAAACTCATATCTGCAAAAATAAATTACCAGCTGTACACTTTATATACATGCTAGTCGCATTCATCAAAAAGAAAATATGCTTTAATAATTTGACTCGAGCAACGTATGACATGACCATTACTAACTGAAATGCATACTTGAGGGGAGGTATTTTTCGATTATCAGCTGGACTTATTCCATTAAGTAATGCTTTACGGGAATGTATAATAAAATGGCGAGTTGGAGATTGTGAAGAAACTTTGTAAATAAAGTCACCTGTACATTTAAGAGAGAAAGACAGCAAGAAACACTAGATCAGTTACAACCCTGGCATATCTTTTTAAAAAATTACATATTGGAACTGACGTACAGAGTTCATGGTATGAATCATGGTCATCAACTCCTATTCTGCATTTCACACTAACGGGTACATTTGTATGGGCAGCAATAACTGACATAGCTTGAGCAACAAACTTCGTTTACAAAAAAGCCAACGGTACATTAATGCTCCAAATATATATACTAGAAGTCCAGAACCACACATAAAATCAAGCAAGCAATCTCACACCTTTGGATCAAGCATGAGACGGGCCCCAAAACACCCATGACCAGCTACCCGGGGGCTGGGGCATCCGCAACTGCAAATTTGACGATATCGATTTCGGTCATTGATGCACAAGTTACAAACAAAAAGGTTTTTAAGAAAAGTATGACAAACTTAAAATTGATTTCGTCGTAGCCATAAGGAGTTGCTAGTTCGGTTGCCTTTGCCAGATTTTCCAAGTCACTCCCACCAATTTGAAGTACAATGGGATGTTGCTCATGTCCATATGCCAAGAACCTATCCTGATAAATTACGAACGGCATATGTAGAATTAGAGAGTGAGAGAGCAATGGAAACAGATACATCACAAAGAAAAGCGCGAGGCGGATCAGCTATACGGTTCAATGGCAGGTAAAATGTAAAACAGAATATAAAAAATATTTTCATCCTACAAACATTAGAATACATTAATCACAATCCAATGCAAGTAATTTATTCTTAGTTTCAGTGCTGAGTTGTGTTTCCTTTTCTGTTTTACTATTCAAATTTCATAAGATAATGAAAGCAGTAGAACTTAGCGTATAAAATATTGCTACTTGGAAGAGGTCTCTTGTTTTACTATGAATCTCTCGTTGGCAGAAACACTTTCAATTTGACTTATCAATGAGTTATGGAATTCTATTAATCTTTGTTTGGTTCATAAATAGGAGAAACTTATAGGAGAAAATGGAGAATTCTGTTTTTTCTTTTGTTTTTGGTGAGAAGAGAAATGGGAGAGACAATCAGAAATGAAGATGATGTGTCCCATCACTCTTAAAAATCAAAATGATTGTCCTTTCAATTTTTTCTCAATAGTTTCTCTCTTCTATATTTCCTTCTTAAACTAAACAAAGTCTAAGAGATCTGTTTGTGCAAAATATTACCAGATTTCCTGCCTGGTAAACAATTGTTTCTGCAGCAAGCATTTCAGTATAGAGCCAAGCATGTTTTGAGATGAGCCTGACCATAGTCCTGTAGTGATTATCAGTCCACTCCATCATTGGAGCAACACTGTCGATTATAACACAAATGCTTAGTATGGCTTAGGATTTAAAAATATTATCAAATACGGAGTACTTAATAAAATAAACAAAAGCAAGCCTTCATAGACACCCACCTAAACCAAGGAGGAAGATAGCGCTCAGCACCCATAACAGATTCTGCATTTAATTTGTACTTTTGACGGTAAACAGGCAATTTCTTTGTCTTGAACGAATTTCCATAAAATAAATATGAAAATCTGCCACGATTTTTAAGATTAACATAATGGGGAGTTAATGGAGCAAAGAAACTAAGCCCAGTAGATCTCATTATCCCTCAAGATGGATCGTGGTCTGCTCTTTGGTGTACCTATCCATTGGATGGAAATCGACATCATGAAAGAGGTCACGGCACCTCGAAGTGCCTACTAGTCTTGTCGAGAAAGACACAAAAATTACATGCAGAGTTTATCTATCCCCGAGGAGCAAGTTTCATTGCTTTACACAATTTGAATTACACATTGCGAGACCGTTTGATATGAGCCATTTGGCTTCAAGTTCTCTCCCAAATAAGTGAGCGGAAAACTAGTTCAACAGAATAAGCCAGATAAGGCTACCAAAAGAAACCTAAGCTCCCATCCCAACAAACAAATTTACATCTAATAAACGCTATTTGCTAACAAGATCAGTTTTTTCACTGCCATCCAGCATAAGGAAAGACATGCATAAAATTGTACAAAGTTCTCCATCTAGTTTCAAAGAAGTATGCTTAGAACACTATAATTGCCAGATTCACAACCAAATTTCAATTCCTCCCTTGAGTTTTCCGGATTCCTATGTCGATTTTTGTGCTTTATACATATTCACATATTTCAAATTCCAGCGCCCCGCGAAATTACTCATATCCATATGCAGTAAAACTGTAAAACACATACATATACACATACAGAAGAGGAACATGAACTGAAAGACAAAAAAAAAGTTAGGGCTTTTTACATTTACAATGTTCCTTCACCGCACCGCCAGTGGCGGTCTTCTAAAACGCTTCAAACACACGAACGGGCTGAGGAAGACTGCCAATTTGCAGTTCGTTGGAATGTTTGGATATTAGTTGTGTACTCCTTCATCCACACATAAAATAAATGTTTGGCTGAAATTATTTTTAAATTATTTAAATGAAAAATAGTATGAAATTATAAAATAAAAATTATATATTTAGAAACTATATCTAAAAATCTAGAAAACTAGAGGTGACATGACTATATTATTTTATATCAAATAGGACACGAGAATAGATCGACAAAGTAAATAAAGTTTGACCTTGCGAATAGTGAACGAGAAGATTGTTGGTTGGACGGATGGAGTATAAATAAACAATACTTAGATTATCAAATTTATTGTCTCATAAAAATAATCTAATTTGATTTTTAAAAATTTTATTTCTTTTAAATTTTAAAAAATGTACTCCCTCCCTCCAAAAAATTTATTCTCATTTGACATTTTACGGTCTCCAAGATTACACTTTGACCACTAATATCTTTATTTATACATGGATATATGTTACTCCGTATAAAAATTTGATATTTGAAAACTATATTTGAAAATGAATATATTCATATTAAAGTTATATCGTAATTGATGGTGTAAATTATCGACCGGTATATCGTTTTTAGCCGGGCAAAAACAATAAACTGGTCTAAAAAATACACCAAAATATAAACACGGAAATTTTGACGTGGAAACCCAAATCGGGAGAAAACCACGGGCCTTTTTTGGCGGTACCTTGCCAACGGGAGATTTTTATTAATATCGGGGTGTATACATGGTACATGAATTAGGCGAGAAAGCCATTAATGGAGCTTTTGGGCTCTTTGAAGAAGTAAACTACAAAAATATTTGAGAGAGAGAGAGTAAATGGGCAGGGAAGGAGAATAAAATTGGCTCCCTAACATTGAGGGCAAACCCTCTTTTTATAGGGGAGGAGGGGAAGCATATTCGGAGAATATTCTCTTATTCTTCCATTTTATTAAACAGACCCGGTTTGACTGTTTTTCGTAAATAATTGGAAAATGTGAGCCGAGCCACGTATTATTTTCCCATCAAGAAGTCCTCCACTTTTTTAAGTTATGAGAATCATCAACTTAAAAAAGTAAACAAGTCCTTCGAGTGATATCTTCAGTCTTCGTACTTTGGATTCTTGACCGGTTGATATTATTGCTAGTCCTCCGAGTCTTCATTAATCCTCTAATTTCTTGAATCAAAAGTTTTTCGTGCAAAAATAATGTGTACAACATTCTTTTTTTGACCGGCCTATGCCGTGCTCAAAAAATTATTATCTCTACCGAGAAGCTCGATGTTAGGGTGATTAAACTTCGCGTGAATAATTATCGTAACAAGAGCGATGTCAGTTCGATAAAGCGACGTTGCTTCGAGTAGTTATACGACACCGGAGTTAGTACGATGAAGCGGCGGTGCTTCAAGTAGTTATTTCGTCGAGACCGATGTTAGTACGGATTAAGTAAACGATGCATAACAAAATTAGTATATCGAAGTGATCGATGTTACTTAATACGAATTAAGTACGCAGCAGCAGCTTTGTCGAAGATCAATGTTAGCCCGGCTGACTGATGTAAATATCTTCATGTCTCGCGGAGACCATCTTTGATAAAAGTGCCTTATGCAAAAGGCTTGAAGAATCAGGCGTCCCCGATAAAAGCTCAGCTGAAACACCGGTGTACCCAATTCGATTGGGTTCAAACTTACGAGAAAATATGTGCAAGACCGGTGTGTATATCATTCTTGGCCTGTCTCGCCGTCTCGCGCACAAGAATGATATTTACCAGCGTGCCAGGCCGGGCATGTGTCACATATTTTATATTTTTTTATTATACCGAGCAAGACCGGTGTAGTAACCAGCGTGCCAGGCCGGGCCTGTGTCTCAGTCTTCCTCTTTTTTTTAATACTGAGCAAGACCGGTGTTGTAACCAGCGTACCAAGCTCGGCTTGTGTCTCAGTCTTCCCTCCGCATTCGTCCAAAAGGTATGTGCAAATACCCAAATTATTGCCCCATAATGCTAACCCAATGTTGGTGGTGGGCCCCCCTTGAGAAATAAGTGAGGAACTGATTTCCTCAGTATTTAATGTATGCCCTCCCACCAAACATAATTAAATGATGGGATCCATTGTGAAGATAAATGAGGGAGTCACCCCAAGCCCACTGGTTTTTTTTGGACCGAAGCTTATGTTTCAATCTCTTTAAAATTTTATTCCAAACTTTGCACCTCTGCATGTTTTTTCAGTGGGCCAATGCCATCCTCATGCCAACTTTCAATCAACTCAAGGAACCAAGAACATGAAACTTGCCCATTACTTCACGTGCCTTAGCTGCTGCAAGGATACCTTTTCCATCTATTCAAATTTTTACCATTACGTGGTTGTCTCTCAACAGAGGTAGTTTCTAGCTCATTTCCTTGCTCACGAGAAGCAAATTTTTCTAGAGATCTCGGTGGTGGCAGCGGTAGTGTCGAGCGGCGATACGAGAGGGCGGAAGAGAATTCATTAGTGGAAAAGGACATGTTCTTGCTCCTCTCTAATGCGGTGGCGAAGACATGCACAGGTTCAATCGCGGCGATGGTAGATTTTCAGATTTGGGTAAGGCGGCTGTAATACCGGATTCACCCGTAACAATCAGATCTCGGGGGCTTTGCCCGAGGATGGCGACCGTCAAACTTCAGCGAAGGACGCAATGAACTTCGATGATGGTGGTGGTGGTGACGATGGTGACCCGCATAAACAGCTACCAAATATACACCGACGGTGGTGACGATGAGCCAATCTGGAAAATTTTTGGAGAGATTGTGGCGTCGAGGTGAGTCTTCTCCTTCCTCTTCAATGGTGGTGACAGTAGAGATCGTAAAACCACTGACAGACAGTCGATGGGGCGGCCCTTCATAGCCAAGGTGGTGGTAATGAGAGAGCGAGCTTCATCCTGCGAGAGCGGGAGGACGAGAACGACCCCACCGGCTCTCAAGGACAAGAAATTGGGACAGATCCACAGTTGTGAAAAGATTTCTGATGACCTGAAAAAGTCCTCCGACGACAGATGAGTTTGTAGCGTCGGTGCTAACTCCAACTGTGGTAGAGGCGGACTCCAATTGAGAGTAGCGCACAACAGCTTCCGTGGATTCCACTATGGTGGATTATACACATAACAGTAGTAACGACATCTAGCAACAGCGAGTTTAGTTGCAGCATCGATGACTATGAACCTCCGGTATGGCGGCAACGATGGCGGATCTAGATGCAACAACATGGTGGAAGCAGAGGCTGACATTATCGGAGGTGGCACTCTTCTCCTTCTTTGTTATTAAGCCGGTACTGGCTATCAGCCGGGCAGCGGCGATCGGCCAGAGAGAGTGGTAGCGACATCTCCCTGTTGGCATTGAGTATTGAGTACTCATCCAAAGCAAATCTGATTTCTTTTTTTTTGTACTTCCCCTGCCATGTTGTCCATTGAGAAGTTGAATGCAGATTTTTTTGGTGCTTCCTTCCCAACTTTTTGCTCACCGAGAAATTGAGCGACTTCTGAATCAGCACTTTGGACCCAATTTTTGCACAAAAGGGGCCTCAAAATGGCTATACTAAACACTCCCTAGAAACTTGACATAGTTTTAGCAACATGACTATTTGCTCGGGTCCCACGGTCGGCGCCAAAATGATGGTGTAAATTATCGACCGGTACATCGTTTTTAGTCGGGCAAAAACGATAAACTAGTCTAAAAAATACACCAAAATATAAACACAGAAATTTTGACGTGGAAACCCAAATCGGGAGAAAACCACGGGCCCTTTTTGGCAGTACCTTGCCAACGGGGGATTTTTATTAATATCGCGGGTGTATACATGGTACATGAATTAGGCTAGAAAGCCATTAATGGAGCTTTTGGGCTCTTTGAAGAAGTAAACTACAAAAATATTTTAGAGAGAGAGTAAATGGGCAGGGAAGGAGAATGAAATTGGCTCTCTAACATTGAGGGCAAACCCTCTTTTTATAGGGGAGGAGGGGAAGCATATTCGGAGAATATTCTCTTATTCCTCCATTTTATTAAACAGACCCGGTTTGACTGTTCTTCGTAAATAATTGGGAAATGTGGGCCGAGACACGTGTTATTTCTCATCAGAAATACAATGTATTTTTTCTACATATCATAGTCAAAGTTTACAAACTTTGACCAAGAAAAGTCAAATGGGAAGAATATTTCCGGACGGAGGTAGTAATAGATAGATTATTAGTAAAAAAAAATATGATGTAACAGGTAGGGTAAGAATTATGGATTAAAATTAGTTTTCTAATAGAAAATGAATGGAGTTTGTGAGACAAAAAAGGAAAAGAAGTTTAAGGACGTAAAGAGTAGTACTCCTCTTGAAAAAATAGAAAATTCATTGTAAAACAAGTGGTCAATTATGATATTAACCCAACAAAATTACAAGCTTTTCTATAAAACACGTGAACCGAACATGATAATGAGAGGTCATGTGTTTGCAATTCTTGTCTTCAACCCACCACAATATATAGGTCTTGTTTGGATGTTGGCTGTCACCTGTTGGCCCAGCTATTGTGAATGACTGTTTAGATTAGCTGGTTTGACCGGCAAGATAAATTGGCTGATCGTTAAAAATGTTTGGTAAAATTAGATGTTTGAAAATAGTTTTTCATATATATATATATATATATATATATATATATATATATATATATATATAGACACATAATATTTATTTTTCTTTTTTTACATGTAAAAATTAAATCTTTACTATATTGAGTATTAAATTTTAATTTCATTTAATTCATAAGAAATTATTAATATACAACTTTTTAAAGATTTTTACTTTTTATTTTCTCATTTCATTTTTTCAAAATTTTTAAATTTTAAATTTTATTTTTTTTAGTATTTGGTTTTTTTAACTTTTATTTTTATTTTTATTTTTTTTACATATACTACCTCCGTCCCAGAGTATTTGTCCACTTTCATTTTTACACACCATCTAATACACTTCTTTAATCCATTTTATCTTGTAATTTGTATATTAAAAAATTATAGAAATTATATATTAATAATCTATATATTAAGACAAATCAAACAAGATCACACATGACTTTATTTAGGCTTACACATTGAGAGAATTTGATGAGTCAAAGTGCTTAGATGAACAGTTCCAAAAGTCAAAACTGAACGAATACTCCGGGACAGAGGAAGTATTATAAAATATCTTTCAAGAAAAATGATTTTTAAAAAATTAATTTTCCTTATAGCCAAGTCCAAATGCTACTCTCCTTGGCATTTCAGACTTTGGCTTTTCGGATCAAAATGCCAAGTGGAAAAGCCATTAGCCAAACAATAGTTTTGGCTGTTTGCTTAGTCAAAAAAGCCAAAGTCAGTCAAAGATGCCAAAAGCTATCTGAAACGTTGTTTTCCAAACACGGCCATAACCTATTAGATCGTCATTTTGATGTGACTGACAAACCGCCTCGCATTCTCTTTTCAATTTTTTCACAGAAGCACGGACAATGAGTATTTGTGAGAAGAGTGATGCATACTTAAAGTCAAACAAGGTTGAAGTTTCAACACAATTGCTCGTATATATGCCCTGTACAAGACTTAATATCTCAGACTTAAGCGGTCATCACAGAAGGAGGATCTAAGGATTAAAATCAATGAGCAGGGGAGAGAATCCTACGCAACGTCCCGTGTCCTACCACAAACATTTATTTTACGTATTTACTGTACTTTAAACTATTTATTCCTATATTAATTTGGATGTTAAACTTTTTATTCGTGTATTAATTTAGATGCTTATGTAATTTATGATATCTTGGATACATAGCAAAACCCCAATTTTTTTTAGTGCACTTTCCTCTTTCTCAAAAAAGAGAGACCAGGAGAAAGGGAGAGAAACATAACGGTCTATCCTCCATTTTCGCGGTTAGGTAGCAGGCCAGCGACAATGGTAGGCAACAGGCCATGGAAATTTGCGAGAAGCTCTCGTATAAACGTGTTCTCTCTCTTTCCATCTTCCCGTCTTTTTTTTTCTATTTTTGTTTGATGCACTCAATCTCCAGGAGCCATTTGATGAGGAAGTAGGAGATCGGCCCTTATTTCCGTTCTCCGATCTCCCTCCTCCGGCTCCGGCCTCTCTCTATTTCCGGCATCAGATCTCGATCCATCTCTCGCAGAGATAAACCAATTGCGACATTGATCTGATGTCCCGTTATCCAGTTGAATTCCCAGCCCTCGGTTTCATTCCAGAATCGCAGTAATCAAGCAGGATTCTGAAGATATTGGTTCTGGTTTGACAAGTATATGAGTATGATTTCGCGTCAGGTCATGCCGGCGTGCGATCAGCTCTGCGTTTTCTGCCCGGCAATGAGGCCGCGGTCACGGCATCCTCTCAAGCGGTACAAGAAGATGCTGGCGGATATCTTCCCTCGCACTCCTGTTCGTCCATATCTTCGTTTTATGATTATGTCGTTTCATTTGAACTCGAGTTTCATATGCATTGCGATTGGATGCCAGCTCCTGAATTCTCCCTTAATATTCGCAGGATCAGCAACCAAACGATCGAATGATCAACAAATTATGTGAATATGCTTCAAAAAATCCACTTCGTATACCCAAGGTTGGTACAAGATGCTCGAATTGTTGTTGCGGTTGGTTTGTTGAAAAATACTAGATTATTCTCCTATCTGTTTTGTATTTGACTCTTCTCACCTTACATTTCCATTAAGGTGGGGGTAAGGCCTACCTTCGTACACCTACCATCCAAAACCAACTCTTGAGACCTCACTAAGTTGTCGCTACCCATACTATTATTCTATACGTAGACTGCTATTAAAGAATTTAGTTATGCTCGTTCGAGTGCAGAATCGAACTTTTATTTGAGTATCCATTTTATGAGCAGATTACAACTTCGCTTGAGCAAAGGTGCTACCGGGAATTAAGAAATGAGAATATTGGATCTGCAAAAGTTGTCATGTATATATACCGGAGGTTGCTAACATCTTGCAAGCAGCAAATGTGAGTCTACTTTTGCAATCTTATGCTCTCTATTACTATTAGGTCACTCTATGTTTGGTAGATAGGATCTTATTTGGGAGTTCATAGCTTATTTTAAGATTTGAATGAGCATTTAGTTTTTATTGGTAAATAAAAAAAGATATTATAATAAGTTATAACTTGAAATTGGAGATGAGGAAGAGTACTGCGATTACGTTGTGATGCCCTTCAAGCCCTCTTGTCTTTTGTAAGCTGCTTCATCAGAACGTTTCTTGTGTTTTACCATTTTTAAAAATATTTACCTCTCATGTGGTTTGGTTGCCATTTAGCTTTCTTGTTACTCTGATTGCATATATTTGGAAAGTTATACACACCAACCGCTGAGAAATAAGTTACAAATTACTGGTTTCTTACTTCATCGGTCCCCCAATTAAGTTCTCACGTTGACTAGCACACATACTTAGGCAAATTATTTTTTATGTTGACTTGCCAACTTTGCAGCTGCTTTATTGTTTGATGGGAACTTTTGGGGTATAATTTTTTTCATACTTATAATATTATCTTTATAGAAGTGGGATTTTATTTAGGGGACATCCATAAAAGAAAAGTAAGCACTTAATTGGGGGACAAAGTATTTTTTTCTCCACTAACGAGTAACGACCGTAATCTTTTACAAAAGTCTCTTTACCTTTCTTTTATTAAGGTAATAGGTTATGTATCTATATCTTCTCGCATGTTACTACCCAACAAGTAATTTTGCTAAACATTTCCAGCCAATCCCAAAACCGAAAACTATTGGCTTCTAGCTATTAACTGTCCTGTTTCGAGCTAGCTTTTGCAGCTCACTGTTCCATATAGACACTTAGTAGCGAGAACTAGGTCATAACATCCTTCTAAACTGGCTCATTTGAATAGACTAGAGAAATCATAAAAGGAAGTACAAAGATCTGTAACAAACCGCTTTCATTATGCAAACAGTGACAATGACACTATTAAGTACTGCATGACAGGCCATTGTTTGCAGGGAGCTTTCTCAGTATTGTACACATACTGCTGGATCAGATAAGGCATGATGAATTGCGGATTGTGGGATGCCATGCACTTTTTGACTTTGTGAATAATCAGGTTGGGTAACTCTTCCTTTTGAATTGCGGATTGTGGGATGCCATGCACTTTTTAACTAATATTGCACTTATGCTCTGATTGTTTTTTATCATACAGGGTGATGCAACGTATATGTTTAACTTAGAAGGGTTAATACCAAAAGTCTGCCTTGTTTCACAAGAAATGGGAGATGAGGAAAGAGTACTGCGATTACGTTGTGCTGCCCTTCAAGCCCTCTCATCTTTGGTAAGCTGTTTCGTCATAATTTTTCCTTGTGTTTTACTATTTGTTTGAAATTATTTACTTTTCATGTCTGCTGAAGTAGGTTTGGTCGCCACCATTCAACTTTCTCTGATCTGATTGCCATTCAACTTTTTTGATCGGAGTATTTAAATTTAAACTGTTTTATCTTAGTTATGCTAGCTTCAGAAGTCCTTGCATTGAGTTATATGTGTTGCTTTTTTATCTTCTAATGCAGGTTTGGTTTATGGGTGAATTTGGTCAAATGTCAGCAGAATTTGATAATGTAAGCAAAATGTATATTCTTACATTACTACGTAGTAATTCCTAAATTTCATCTCACCGCGATTCCTTTTCTGTAATATTTTCTTGAGTCCTGAACTAGTTCAAAGTAAGAGGTGTTAAGTCAGTCTACATCACACAAACACATACAAACCAATACATAATGTCTTGAACCACTCCTATTAGATTGGCTTTTAGTATTAAAACCCAAAAGGGTTAAAAAAGTAGAGGGAACTCATATCAGTTGGCTTCATTCTCATTTTTTCATTTTCTTTTACTACTAGGTTGTTTCAGTTGTATTGGAAAACTGTGAAGCGAAAGAGGAGAAACTCGACCAAGATATACAAAATAACCAGGATGGTGGTGCTGGTCATGACCAAACTATATCATCTGATACAATGAAAAGAGCGACTTCTTGGAGGAACATTGTGACCGATAGAGGACTTAACGTGGCTGTGTAATCCCTCTTTCTTTTGCATCTTAAGCATGCTGTTAAATATTATGGAGCAATTCAAAATATCATAACTAAATGGTATGGTATAAACATGCTATAAACAGAGAAGATTCAATGAAGCCTCAATTTTGGTCTAAGGTGTGCTTACATAACATGGCAAAGTTAGCTAAGGAAGCAACAACCGTTCGGCGTGTTTTAGAGTCCTTATTTCGTTACTTTGATAATAGCAATCTATGGTCGCCTCAAAAGGGGGTTGCGCTCACTGTTCTGCTAGACATGCAATGCATTATGGAGAACTGTGGTAAATGTTAATCCATCATTGTTTCATTGTTGAGAATTCCGCATTGGTTGTTTACTAGGTGCTAGTCTAGTTACTCTAGCTATCTAGTACTATATTAGTGTGAGTTAAACCTCATCTTTTGATGATCCTTTTGGGGCTAGTTAGATCAAATCTAACATGGTAGCATAGTCTAAAGACTGTGATAGTGGCCTTAAAGCGTCCTATTGCTGGATTGTTTGGGGCAACATGTTCTGGCAATCCTCGCCTTTTGAGAATTCTTTTAGGGTGAGTTAGACCTATTTTAACACATCTTAATCATTGTTTTATTGGATTTTGATATACCTGAATTGCAGGTCATAACACACATTATTTGTTGTGTACATTAATCAAGCACTTGGATCACAAGAATGTGATAAAAAATCCAGATATGCAGATAGATATTATTGATGTTGCCACGGCCCTTGCTCGGGTGACAAAGGTAGAACCATCTGTGACAATTGTGGGTGCATTTAGTGATATGATGAGACATCTCCGCAAGAGCATACATTGTTCCATCAATGACACAGACCTAGGGGAAGAAGTAAGGAACTGGAACAGAAGATACCGCGCTGCAGTAGATGAATGCCTGGTCCAGTTATCTTATAAGGTCACATTTTTCTCCCAGATTAAATAAATAATAAATAGGAAAATATGTATAAATTTGATGATGATGATACAACAACCTAGTATAATGACTCTTTTAGCTCCATCGGCAATGGACAATAATGATAATGATAATGATAATGATGATAAACCCTTGATGAGACAGGTTGGAGATGCAGCCCCGATTCTTGATGTGGTTGCAGTGATGTTGGAAAGCATCTCAAATATACCAGTTATAGCCAGGAACACAATGACTACAGTATACCGCACGGCTCAGATAGTAGCAGCCTTGCCCAATTCAGCATATCAAAACAAGGCAAGGGCATCTCTATTTCCCTTTCTTATATTAAATTGGGATTCCATACTAAAAAAGTTAACCTGATGTAGCACCAGGTCTTATAAGTTGGGACATATCTATACATTATTTTCTACTCTCAGATATAAATTTATCTATTCAGGCTTTCCCTGAGGCTTTGTTCCACCAAATACTGTTGGCCATGGTCTCTCCCGACAATGAGACCAGGCTAGGTGCACATCGTGTGTTTTCTGTTGTACTTATTCCATCGTCAGTTTGTCCACGTCCTTCCTCTGGAAGTTCACTCTCAAAAAGAAATTCTATTCAGAGAACACTGTCCAGAACTGTTTCAGTGTTTTCTTCTTCAGCTGCTTTATTTGACAAATTGGGTAGGCAGCAAACATCGACACAAGAAAGTATGGATAGGAGTGGAAGTATCAATAACCAACAATCCATGCTGAATCGGTTGACGTCAAGCTATAGTAGAGCATATAGTGTTAAACCAGGGACTAGTGAAATGGCTAATGTGGAAAGACTACCGGTAAGACCTAAAATGTTTTTCATGCTAACTATAAAAGCAGATGTTTTTTTGTTAGTTATACATGATTTTTCATGAAGCAGGAGGAGGGGCTTTCTCTTAAGCTAAGGACAAGACAAATTAGCATACTGCTTTCTTCCATATGGGTGCAGGCCATTTCTCCTTCAAATACTCCTGAGCATTATGAAGCAATTGCTCATACTTACAGCTTGGTGATGCTGTTTTCACAAACCAAGGTATGTTACTAATCTTGATAAATAATGCTAATAGAATTCCCTGAGGCATGGGATTAGTACTTTCAATGTTCATTACTTTGTGTTGGGAGTGATTAAAGTCACTTAGAGATTAAACTCATGCAACCAGGTGCTTTGAATGTGGCTATCGTTTTATTAAGACCCATGGCCTCTACGGTGCTCCGTTGGTAAAATTGATTATTCCTACCCTCACAAACCCTCCCTAAACCCCCATGTCCCCTCTGCCCCATGCACCCTCCCAAACCAGCAATCTGGGGGGGGGGGGGGTTGGGGGTTAGTGGGGGTAGAAACCATCAATTTTACTAATGGAAGGTCAAATTAGGCTCGGGTCAAAAGATCATTTCCGTTATTTATAAGTGTTTTATTAATATATTAGAATGGCTGCTTATGTTTTTCATATTTTTGAAAATGTTTTTACATGTTCATACTTAAGCAACAACAACAAACCCAGTTTAATTCCAACTCTAATCCCAACTTTGCTGGGGTCGAGGAGTCAAAATGTATGGAATTTTATCCCTGTAAGACTCATGCCGGTTGGTCAAAATGACGGAGTGCTTCGGGCTTTATATGTGACAAAAAAGTACCTTTAAAACTAAGGGAAATTTTACCGTACTGCGATTAGACAAGCTATGTTGTATGGAACAGAGGGTTGGGCAGCTAAGGGTGAATATGAAAACAAGGTTAGTGTGGCTAAAATGAAGATGTTTTGGTGGATGAGGGGTCATATGCGCATGGATAGAATACATAATGAAGATATGAGAGCTAAAGCTGGGATAAGACTTTGTTTTTTTGTTGTAAATAGTTGCTTCTGTTAGACCCTGGATGCATTCATGCATTTTGTGCCTTAAACTAAATAAAAAACACACTAATTAAGGCCTTAACTTCCAAAAATTTCCCAACTCCTAGTTTCTTCTAACTCTTTCTAGTTCCTTCCAACAACGACTTAAAAGAAAGTATTTATATATGATTAATATACAATAACATTATATATCCAAATTTATAACATACCGCCTCAAACACAGACAATGACGAATTTCTTTTTTAATTGAGTGACTTTTTAACACTTTAGTTCTTCCAATATTTTTCAACTCTTTCCAGTTTTTTCCAACTCCTTCCAATTTTTTTCCAACACCTTCCAGTTTCTTCCAACATCTAACTATGAAAATCCAACCAAAAGAATAGGGCCTAAGAAGCAAATGGAGTTTTATATGTCATCTTGATTTAGTTTATTATGTATCCGAAGCTAAAATAGTCTCTATTAGCTTCATTGACAATGTATATGATGAACTTAATGTATACTCCATCTGTTCCAAATGATTGTTTTTAGCCAAAAAAAAGTTATGTCTTAAAATGATTATCCTTTTAGGACTTCAGTCATTATTATTACTTATCTTTCGAATATGTCCATCGTAACTTTCCTACATTAAAGATTTTTTGACCTTGAAAACTAATGAAATGCTTTTGAACTTAAATAAGGGTAGAAGTGTAGAAGAGTCATTTTAAGGCACCTTTGATATGTTTGCATTTTTCTAAAGAGTCAATTTATAGGATACTACTAATGTTTCATAACAATTACATTAATGTTTTATAATGGTGCATGATTGTTAAATCCTTTCAATAGCTAAATCATCTCTTCCATCCCCTACATGCCCAACTTGCCCCAATAAACAACATCATTGCCATGCAGAAAAATAAAGTTATTTTTTCTGTTCTTATTGACTAATATACAGAAGTCCAGCCATGAGAGTCTTATTAGAAGCTTCCAGCTTTCTTTTTCACTAAGAAGCATTTCACTTCACGGAGCAGGTACTGAGTTCTTACTTCTTAGTTAATCCTTGGAGTTCTCTCTACTAATATTGCACATACATGTCTTTTTGATGTCTTGAATTTCCTTGGAAACTCTGTTTTTCTAATAAGCTGGCATAGTTCACAATGTTTAAGTTAGTGATCCACCAATAATTTGCAGGGAAACTGCCACCATCAAGGCGCAGATCACTATTTACATTGTCAACGTCTATGATTATTTTCTTGGGGAAGGCCTTCAACTTTATCCCTCTTGTTGTCTCTGCTAAGGCTGCATTGACAGATAGAACAACAGTATGTAAAAATATTATGTTCCGTTTCTATATTCACACAATTTAATTGTATAGAATAGCTGTTGATGTCGATGATCTCCATCCAACAGATCGATCCGTTTCTTCGGTTGGTAGAGGATTGCCAACTCAAAGCTGTAACCAGTAACTCAGACTGTATGATGAGCCTTTATGGATCAGAGGAGGATGATGCCGCTGCTTTGAAGTTACTTTCAGAGATAGAGATAACAAAGAAACATTCGACAGAATCTTTTGCTTCAATGATTGTGGAAAGCTTGAAGAAGTCATTAACTGTATGTTTTCTAGTCTTCTTGTGTTTTTAAATGTGTGCTTGTGATTTATATATATGTGACCGTCGTTTAAATCTTTTTCTGCAGGATAAGACTAATCTCATAAAAGAGCAGTTACTTCAAGATTTTCTTCCCGATGATGTTTGTCCATTGGGAGCTCAAGCAATTCCTGAAATACGACGCCATCCCAACCAACTTGAATCAAATGACAAAACGCATGATGAGGTATTGTGTTCTATCTAATAAACTGCACTGAGACAATAGGCATGATGTAGACTATGGCTTAACGCCTGAGCTCAGTTTGGTGTTTACATCATCTCACATCAGACAAATATGAAATTTTAAAAGTTTGGGCTACTCCTATTAGGTTCATCTTTTTGGATATAACCACATGCCTTAATATGGTATCAAAACTCATTATCTTCAAATGATAATTCTACCTTGTTAAATTAAATTTTTTTATTTTAAAAAAACTGCTTCAACAAATTGCCATACTGTAGCGGTGTATCATTCTTCCATATAAATTACAAATAAATATACGAAGTCATGGGGCCAACGGGGGAAGAAACTTAGATGGCTAAGTGGGGTCTAGCACCAAGGCGATGATTTTTAGACAATTACGGAGTATACAATTAAAAAGCAAATGACCTTTCTATCCCATCATTGTCAAAAATCTACAGTTGTTCGTATGATTTCATGTATATGCAGGCACTAGACGAAATATTTCCTCTTGATGCGCTTGAGATTCATATAGATGCAAACGCACAACTCGCATCACAAACTCCTAGCCTCTTGGATGTCAATCAGTTCCTAGATTCAGTATGTTCTATTCTGCAAGCTAAGATACACTCCTGATATAAAGTGATTTTTTTAAGTGAAAAAAAAGTGAAGCCATTTAGGAGAAACTATTGCAGGTCCTAGAAACAACAAATAATTTAGGAACAGCCCCTTCGGCATCTGGGTTGACATACAAGGACGTGGCAAGCCAGTGCGAGGCCCTTCAAGAGGGAAAGGAAAAAATGATGCATTTTGTGAATTCGTCGCCAAAGATTAATGAAAGTTCTGCAGCCTTCAATGGACAAGAAGAGTTCAACAACTTCAATACTTACCCTTCTTACACTTGTGCCGCCAACGATAGTTCCCCGCCAGTAAGTACTACTTATATAATGGAGGGCCTGTTTGCTTAACTTCCTTCCTTATTCGGCTTATCAGTTCTCTGAGACATCCATATACAGCCATTACTTGCCATTAAGCTCAATGTTTGTGGATGTCTGCGAGAAGCTTGGGTGACTTGAGCATTTTCCTTCTATCAAGACACTAACACTATGTTTGGTTCATGGAATTTGAAAAGAAAAGAAAAGAAAAGAATTTTTCTTGTTTTCCTCACTAAAATGATCGAGAGGAGTTTGGTTTTTCATCCTCAGTAAATTTTGGGTTGTCATTTTCTTTTCGTCTATTTTTCTTCTCTAACTAAACAAGAAAATTTGTTTTCCATCTCATCTTCTTTTCTTTTCCTTTCAAATTCTTTGTACCAAATGTAGTGTAACATATTTGACGTAAATAAGAAAAGGTCCACAGTTATTTCTTTATTGGTTATTGAAATAATTTGACGACCAAAATGATTTTTATATTATTATTATTATTAATTACTATTACTATTATTATTATTATTATTCCAGGCATGGCAGCCAAGTGGGAATCCATTTGTCGACAGTATATCTAGTGTTCCTATGTCATGTGCAACCGAATATCATCAGTGTCATTCCAACTTCTTTGTACTGCCAACTTCAAGCCCATATGACAATTTTCTGAAAGCTGCTGGAAGTTAGTTTGTATTTTGAGCATCACTTTTTTCCTATATATATAATCCATTTTTGTAAATTATTTCTCTTTCTCTCTCTCTCTTTTTTGGGTCATGCTAGGATGCCCCAAATGGTTGCTATCAGGGGTGCATCCATGTTTTGCACAAATGAGACAGTTGATAATCATCTGTGCGACAAAGATGAGTGCATTCCTGGCAACAACCATTTGGAGGCACTCTAATTTTTTTGCCAATGAGGATCCAAAAGTTTAATCTGATATAGAAGCATTCGTTCCTCGGCAATATGTAAAGCTTTTTTACAGTTTAGGTTACTGAAAATGTGGTGTGCAAGAACGATGAATTTAGAGAAAATGATTAATAGAATGTGAGAAAATGGAAAAGTTTGGCATGCACTTGGCAAAAAATACGTAGTAGTAGATGGAATGAACAACTTTTTAATTGTGTATTTTCTAATCCTACCAATTATTTTAAAAATGGTCAAGCTAAATGTTGCAATTAAATATACTAGCTTTTCCAAAGCATTGAAACTACTGCTTGAATTGGTACCAAATATGCACCTCATGTCTTTTGCAAACAAAGTATCGAGAATTAATATCTGTTTGTAAAAAACTAAGAATAAAAGATAATTTTTAGATGAAAGAGGCATTGGAAAAAAATTATAGTGCAATCGAAGTTTCTAATCATGACAATTCAAAGTGAATATCATTTTTTTACTAATTTTGTTTGATGTGTTTGTTTAATTTGACTTCTAACATTTGAGCTAAATAAAATTTAATCATTAATTAAACAAAAATTATATTACATATTAGCACAAAAAAGATTTAATCAGATTTATCTTGTAAAACAATTTTAAAAAAATTATTTTATTTAGTATGGATTAATACATAATATACGAGTAATGTTTAATAAATTGATGGTTAAAATTAATCCAGCTTTACTATGAAAAGTCAAACTAAATAATTATACTTGAATGAAAGAATCTTACTACATTCATCCTATTTTTAATTTTTTGTAATCAAAATTGATAAACTTTGATCAATAATTAATTTGGTAGAAAAATTTATATGAGATATTAATACAAGAATAATTTTATTAAATTTATCTTATAAAATATTATAAAAAGTTATTTTACTTAATATGGAGTAATATATAATACAAAGTATAGTTTTAATTTAATTATAAAATTCTGAACCTAATTGAGTATAAAAGGTCATATTTCTTCCGTCCCGGAATAGATTACAATTTTTTTCTCTATTCTCGATAAATTTTGTTTATTTTTATGTTTTCATTGATATTTGATAAAATAAAATATTCTTGTCACATTTCGTTTTGTAAAACTTTTTACGTAGTATTTTAATATGTAATTTTTTTTATTGATATATCAATTTTTAAATAAAATTATTTCAAAAAACGAGAAATTTTCCTTCATAAATTTCAATTTGAAATCAAATTAAAGACTAATGGAGTATTAATGTTAAATTAAAATATTCCAAGCCCATGCCACGTGGAATTTGTAGTTGGAATGGGTTTGCTTTTGGGCGGCAAATAGATGGGTTTGTTTTGTCAATGTCATCACCCGTCAAATCCTCACATGGGTTTGATATTACAAAAAAAGGATGACACCTCATCGGCTCATTTTCAATGAACCTGGATTGGAGAATTTATTATTAAATTATAATCTCAGTCAATAGGAATAAGGGTAGGGTTTCATATTTATATTTGTAGAAGTCTCATGCTTTATATGGTTGCCTCTCATCGCAACCACCAGACTTCGAATTTGGAATCTCTTCCTTGTAGCACTCACATATCAACCGCTGAGCTACATCTCACCGGCATAGATTTGATATTACGATTTGGTTGGAGACAACAAGTATAGAGTTTATTATCTTTCATTTATTTGATTGATTCAACGTGATTCGAATAAGTCTCGATTCAATTCTAGTTGTATTTTAAATTGTTTTTAATTTCGTTTGATTTCAATAAAAAAATATCTTTCCATTCCAGTATAATTGTCTAGTCCGCTTTTCAAACTTAAAGTTTGACCAACAATGTATCTATATAAAAATAATCTCCTTGCTTTGACTTTACACGTAAATAAAGAAAAAGTAAAAAAATGTTTTGAATTCCTATATTTATCCTTGGTTCTTTGCAAAAACTAAAATAAAGTGTAGGTATAGATAGAAACTAATGGGTAAAATGAGGGCAGTGATATGATTTAAATTAAAGAAAAAACATTCGCCAAAAAAGGAAACGAAAAGATAATTTGTGGACGAGCAAATAAAGAAAATTAAAAGATAAATTATGGACGTAGGAAGTATTAGAAAAAAGTACTCTGTATTAAAAATAATACATTTAAAATATTTTCGAGATGCAAAAATAATAGTGGTGTTGTTGTGCCCAAACTTAGGATAAGCAAACAGGAATTAATTCACTCAGGGTTCAGAGGCGTATGATAATCGATTAGCAGATTTAGTAAATCGATTAATAGAGTTTGGCTCAAAACTGTGAATAAACAGAGGAACCAGATAGTCGATTGACACTACAAGACAATCGATTAACAAGAGCTTGCTCGGAACTGGGTACTTTCTGAGGGTAAGGATAATCGAGTATCAATTTGTTGACAACCGATTGTGTGAAGTTATGGGTTTTACGAAGAAGAATCAGAGGACTACAATAGTCGATTACCAATTAAGGATAATCGATTATTTTGGGATTCAGGATCAGGATTGAAGAAAAGAGGGGAAATGTTTTTGTGGTTTTGTTGTATAAGGATAAACCAAATAATATATAAGAGATAAACACACTCTTAATATATTTGGGGCTATTATCTATTTCATACAATAATAATCACTATTAAAGTATTAAATATAGACTCCTAACACACACTCAAAAGTGGCCAACTTTTAGAGATATTTCATTAGGAAATGGATTGAACTAGCTTCACACCAATTCAGGGAATACTTCAAGAGTAATATTAATTATGAGAATGAGATGTGTTTACAAGGCCTCATGACCGAAATATATATAAGGCAAAACAAGGGAAATTACACTTCACTTTTCTACAAATCATGTGATTAATATCCATGTATTATTAATCTTAGTGGGCAGCACTCATTGACCAGGAAAAGGAGGTTAAAAGGCTGTGATTTTGGCTTAGTATGGTTCATTAATTCCTTCCATGTGAAAAGGGAATCAAGGAAAGTTGTAACTTTGACAATTAAGGATAATATGACAAAGTTTGCACTATTTAATCAATGGTTTTGGTTCCTTGATGTTTTTATCTCTATCCTTGGTAAATGGGGTTGTGTTTATGGATATTTAGGGTGGGAAATTCGGCCATACGCTGAAGGATATGAAGGGAATTGGGTTTTGAACAACATGACAAAATCAGCACTATTCAATCAAGGAAACTTTTTTCTGATTTTGTTTTGTGATTTGAATTTTGTCTTGATTAAAACATAATGTGGCCTGATTTTGGGTAAAAGAGTTGGGAAATTCGTGGGTTTGGTGTAGTGAAGAAAAGGAAGGTTTTATTTTAATTAAAAGGAACAAAAGAAGTAGAAACAATACACAAGGTTTTATCTTTTGGACCTCATTTTCATGCAGGGCTAAAAAGGAGGGAAAAGACTTTATTTTGATCATGAAATGGAGACAAAAGTCTTTTGGATATTTTGGGAAGGGTATGGAATGGTTTGGTATCAAGAAAGGCTTTGGAAAAGAAGGGTTATGGTTTGGGTTTTAGGATAAGAAAGATTAATGAGTTCAGCCCAAAAAGGATCATAACACTTAGATATTAACCCTTTGATTTGTTTTATGGTGTGCGGTGTAGCCTCAATGTTGGTAGGAGCATCCCGGGGTACATCATCCTCCCCTTCTTCAAGAGAGTTTGACCTCAAACTCGGAATATCTTCGGGTTCAAAGTACGGGCTGAGATCCGTGACATTGAATGTGGCTGAAACTCCATAGTCTCCGGGCAGATCTATCTTGTAGGCGTTGTCATTGACCTTAGCTAATACTTCGAACGGACCATCTCCTCGGGGCAGTAGCTTGGACTTGCGTTTTGAGGGAAAACGCTCTTTTCTAAGGTGGATCCACACAAGATCTCCTGGCTGGAAATCCATTTTCTTGCGTCCCTTTTTGATCTTTTCAGTGACACGCTCATTCATCTTCTCTATTTTTGCTCGAACCTTGTTGTGAATAGCTTGTATCTCCTGTGCTCGTTTTTCTGCTTCCCAACTATACTTCGTATCTGTTAAGATTGGATTAAGATCAAGTGGGGTAAGGGGATTAACACCATAAATAGTAACAAATGGTGACACGCCCGTTGTTTTGCTTGAGGTGCGGTTGTAAGCAAATTCGGCATGAGAAAGTAATTCCTCCCACTGTTTGATGTTCTTCTTGATGATGGCACGAAGGATGGTACCAAGTGTTCAGTTTGTTACTTCCATCTGGCCATCGGTTTGCGGGTGGCTTGATGTACTAAACTTGAGTTTAGTACCCATCTTTCACCACAAAGTCATCCAAAAATGACTTAAGAATTTGCTGTCTCGATTGGAAACCATACTTCGGGGAATGCCATGAAGTTTGACAATATCCCTAAAGTACAAATCTGCAATTTGTGAAGCATCATGAGTTGTTAGGCATGGAACAGAGTGTGCCATCTTTGAAAATCGATCAACCACCACCATGATTGAATCCTTTCCTCGCTGCGTTCGTGGCAAACTGGTGATGAAATCTAGACTCACGTCTTCCCAGGGAGCTTGTGGGACGGGCAGCGGCATATGCATTCCTTGTGTGGCTTTGTAGTGGCTTTTGGCGAGTTGACAAGTAGTACAACGCCGAATAAAATGCTCGGTGTCTCTTTCCATCTTTGGCCAGTAATAATGCTCTTGCAGCATCATATAAGTTTTATCCATCCCAAAATGACCAGCCAAAGAACCGCCATGAACTTCCTCGATTATTGTTTCATGCAAACTACATTTCAGGATACATAGTTGGTTGCCACGAAATAGAAAACTGTCTTTAATGAGGAAGTTACCAAAGGGCCGTGTGAGGCACTTATGGTATGCCTCCTTGAAATCTTCATCATCTTTGTATAATCCCTGCAAAAATTCAAAGCCAACAAGTTTGGTACTAAGTACCGTTAGTAATAAATGTCGCCAGGATAAGGCATCAGCGCCCTTTGTTCAGGGTTCCGCTCTTGTGTTTTATGGAGAAGGTGAAGGTTTGGATGAATTCGACCCATTTGGCATGACGGGGTCGGAGTTTTTGTTGCCCTTGGATGTACTTTAAAGCTTCATGATCAGAATGGAGTATAAACTCCTTGCTAATCAAATAATGCCTCCAATGCTCAAGAGATCGTACAAGAGCGTAAAACTCTTTGTCATAAGTTGAATATCTCCTTCGGGTGTCATTCAACTTCTCACTAAAATATGACACGGGGTGGCCTTCTTGGGATAATACAGCTCCTATGCCAATGCCGGAAGCGTCGCATTCAACTTCGAACAACTTATCAAAACTAGGAAAAGCTAACACCGGTGCATGTGTTAGTTTAAGTTTGATAGTTTCAAAGGCTTGTTGTGCACTTGGATTCCACTCAAACTTTTGATGTTTGGTTAAATCCGTGAGGGGAGCTGTGATAGTACTGAAATTCTTGACAAATCTTCTATAGAAAGAAGCAAGGCCATGAAAACTCCGGACTTGTTGCATAGTAGTTGGTGTGGGCCAATCCCGTATGGCCTGCGTTTTTCTTTCATCAACTTTGATCCCTTCATTTGAGATAAAATATCCCAAAAATTCAGTTTCTTGAGAGAAGAATTGGCTCTTCTCAAGGTTGCCCTACAATTGTTCTTCATTAAGCTTCTTAATCACCAAAGTGAGGTGATTGATATGTTCTTCTTCACTCTTGCTATAAATCAAGATGTCGTCAAAGTAGACAACGACAAAATGACCTATAAACGGCTTTAGGACCTGGTTCATCAACCTCATGAACGTACTCGGGGCGTTAGTTAAGCCGAAAGGCATAACCAACCACTCGTAAAGACCAAACTTAGTCTTGAAAGCGGTTTTCCATTCATCTCCTTCAAAAATCCTGATTTGATGATATCCACTTCTAAGATCTATTTTTGAGAAGACCTTAGAACCATGTAGCTCGTCCAGCATGTCCTCAAGCCTAGGTATGGGGTACCTATACTTTATGGTAATTTTGTTAATGGCACGGCTATCACAACACATCCTCCACGTACCATTCTTCTTTGGGGAATCGAACTCGTGACCTTGGCTCCGATACCACTTGTAGGACGTCAGGCACTGCCAACTCTTCTAAAACCAATTGGTGGTAGAAGAGGTGCATACCTAAGCCTTATAGTGCATTCAGCACACAAGCGTCTACGACATTTGATTGTGACCTAGCCCACATAGCCTCCGCCACGGGACAATTGATGCACACATGGCTAACATAACATTCATATCCTTACTTTGTTTCAACCTATATTCTACACTAGTTTAGTGTTTCAACTTCATTTTTGAAAACTGAATCTTAATAGATTTTTATTGTACCTGAACTAGTTAAACAAACGTTAGCTCATATATTGTTTGTTTACATCAAACCATGAGATTTAGTAAACCAATGCTAACAGTTGTTACAAATGGTGGCAACAATTACAACAAGAGGAAGCGGAATCGTCCCACTTGACCCGACGTGAGCGTTTAAACCATGAAGCACTACTCAACGACTACTTCAATACTCCGTGTATTTACACATCGAAGGATTTTAGTAATCGTTTTCAGATGAGTCGTCCTTTGTTTATATGCATACTCGCCGATATTGAACGCGAGGTGCCTTGGTTCACTCAACAATTTGATACGAGAGGCCGGCGCGGTTTTAACAGCATCCAAAAGTGTTAGACAAATGTGCAACTCTAGAGGGGGGGTGAATAGAGTTGTTTTCAAGAATGTGCGTTTTTCGCGAAAAAAAAATATATCGCAGGAATAAGTAAAGAGAGTAAGGGAAAGAAGAACACCGGGATTTATACTGGTTCACCACCTCGTGGCTAGTCCAGTCCTCCGAGAGACTCTCTCGAAAGTCCTACTAATCTTCAAGCTTCAACGGGTGCTTGAAAAACCGGTACAACTTGAGAACTTGAATCACACAAGCCTCACTTTCTTACAACAACAAGACTTGAGTCACACAAGTCTTTTGAACAACACTCAAATGAGATTGAGTTTACAACACAAGAATGAAAGCTCACACAATTGAGCAAAGTAGTGTTTGAAAGATTTAAGCTCTATGGATGACAACTTCTATAGCACTCAAAGAAAAATATTTCTAACTCTCAAAAATAATATTTTGATGAGGAAGATGAAGCAAAGGATGAATATAGCTCAAAGAAATATATTGGAGTGCAAGAGGTGT